TTCCTGGACTTGTAAGTCTATTTCTTTCACCGGGTAGGGGAAGTTTTCTGTCATTATTTCTTCAAATAGGTTTTCAACATCTTGCTCTCTCTCTTCATCTGGCACCCCCATAATTTGGATGTTGATATGCTTGAACTTGTCCCAGAGGCTCCTTACACTATTTTCATATTTTTGGATTCTTTTTTCTTTTTGCTCTTCTGGCTGGGTATTTTTTGCTTCCTCGTATTTCAAATCTTCGATTTGATTCTTGGGATCCTCTAGTCTACTGTTGAATCCGTGTATATTATTCTTTATTTCAGTCAGTGTATGCTTAATTTCTGACTGGTCCTTTTCCATTTTTTTAGCATTCTTACTAATATATTTTAATGTCTCACTAAGTTCCTCAGAGGTTTTTAGAAGCTTCTTGAGTAACCTTATAACTGTGGTTTTGAACTCTATATGCAGTAGTTTGCTTTCCTCCATTTCTTTCATTTGTGACATTTCTTTGTCTGGCTGCTTCCCTGTGTTGATAGAGTGGCCTTGTGTGGTATGTGTCTTATAGGCCCAGTGGCTCAGCCTCCCCAATCACCTGAGATGGATATTCTTGGTGCACCCCTTTGTGGGCTGTGTGCACAGTCTTGCTGTAGTTAAGCCTTGATTGCTCTTGGTGTCACTGGGAGGAATTGACCTCCAGACCAATTGGCTATGAGGACCAGCTATGTCTACAATGGAAGGACTGCTGTACATGAGACACCCTTATGGGGCAGGGCTTGCTTTGATGGGGCTTTGGTGCTCACTGAGTCTGCCCCTTGAGTGTGTTGCTTATGAATGTGAAGAGTTGTAATCCGGTATGCCCTTACACTGACCACTGGGTACACTGGCTCTTGGATCTCCAAGGAGGTGCAAAGTCAGCCACTGCCTGAGGCCACCCAGCAGGAGTTACATAAAGATACAAACCTCCTTTGTGTATGGGGTTTGGAAGTGCCCAGATGAGGCTCAGCTGTGAAACAAGGCAGGCTGCTGCTGCCGGGCCTTTGGCCTTCTTTTGGAAGCTTTGAGGCTCTCTGACCCAGCCGCAGTTTGAAAGGTTTTAAGCTGAGAAATGACAGGCCATTCATATGCAAAAACCGCCCTGCACAGCTTGGGTGGGGTTGTAAATTGCGTGGGGCGGGGTCTCAGGGAATCACCAGGGTGGAGCAAACAGCAATGGCTGCCAGTCAGCCCTGCCTGGAATGGTCACGTCTCCATGTCCAGCGCCCCTGCACAGGAACAATGATTGCTGAAAGCACCTCTGAGAGAAAGCTGCCCTCACGTTCTGGCCCGATGCCAGACAGTTCAGTTTCTCTCCGTATGAGTCTGGGTCCCCAGAGTCTCACCCAGAACTGGAGTTCAGCGCAATCGGGAGCTTGTATCTCCCTCCTGATTGAAGAAAAAACAACAGTGCACCTGGTTGCCAGCCCGTTCCATGTGTGTCTTCGCACCTCTGCACCTCCTACCCATCTCAATGCACTTTTTTCTTTCCTTTTAGTTGTAGAACTTCCACTCAGACAGCTTTCTCATGGTTCTAGAGATGATAGTTGTCTTTTGTTTTAGTTGTAGTTTTGATGCGGTTGTGAGAGGCAGCAAGTACAGGTGTTTACCTATGCCGCCATCTTGGTTCTCTCTCCCAGATGTTTTTATGTGTTGTATTGTCATTCTCAATTTTTTCTATATATCATTTTATCTATCTTTTATTTATTCTTTGACCCAGTTATTTTTTAGTAGTATGTTGTTTAATATCCACATATTTGTGAGTTTTCTTACTGCATTTGTCTGCATTTTTGCAGTTTATTTCTAATTTCAAGGCATCATGGTCAGAGAATATGCTTGGTATAAGTCCAATCTTCATGAATTTGTTGATGTTAGTTTTGTGATACAACATATGGTCTATTCTTGAGAATGTTCCATGTGCACAGGAGAAGAATGTATTATCTGATGTTCTGGGATGATAAGTTCTGTAATATCTGGAGAGAACCAGAATGACAGCCTAGGTAAATGCCGGTACTTGCCGCCTCCCACAGCCACATCAAAATTACAACTAAAATACAGAACAACCATCATTCAGAACCACTGGAAAGCTAGCTGAATGGAAGTCCTACAACTAGAGAAGTAAAGAAAAAACACACAGAGAGTGGTAGGAGGGGCAGAAGCATGGAACGGGCTAGTCTGACAGCCACATGTGGCATTATCTTCAACCAGAGGGATATCTTGTCTGCTTAGATGTTCCATGAGGATCAATGGGTCCCAGACCTACACCAGAGCCTCAGCTCAGCTTTAAAGAGCTGGAAAGAGAAGTCCCCATAACTTTGGACTGTAAAAACCAGGAGAGATTGTGGCTGAGTAACATGGAGGCTGCTGGAGACCCAGGCAGTTTCTCTCAAAGGCCTGGTACATGAATTACATGGACTTGCTCCCTCTAAACTCTCAAGTGCAGGGGCAGTGGCTTAGGGGAGGCAAGGACATATGAGGAGGAACTGGATTGTCTGCCTTCAGAGCAGGAACCCAGGGATGGCTTTCTCCCAGACAGGGATGCTTGCAGA